TTCCAGTACTCTCGCTTGGCTTTTCGTACCACGGCTCTAAAGCTCTTGCGGGCCTCTTTCGCGAGGTCAGGGTTGTCTCTCGCTGCCTTGTACTCTTGCCATTCTGTGCGACATTCATCGGTCCACCATGGCCTAGTTCTTCCGCTTTCTATGGCTGGGACTTTCCCTGCAATCATGAGCGCATCTCCAAGTGCTTGTAGGAGATCATTTGTGAAGTTTTCGATGTTGACGACACTTTCGAGAGGGCCAGATTTGGTCCATTGGCTAACGCATCGGTTAAATTCCTTCAAGTTGGCGTCGGTGACACGAATGTTCTTTGCAATTCCAGAGAGATCTTACACTGTAGGGTTAAGCACGGTACCCTCGATGGTCGAGTGATCTGAGGCACAGTGCTATCGGTTGGACACTGATGCTGTGGCGGCCGTGTTGCTCCACGTTAGATCTAGGACGTTCCTATCCCTGTGCGTTGGCTCTCCAACAATGCTGACTAGGTCCATGTCGTGGGCTGTTTCCCATTCCATAATCTGGTTACCATTGCCGTACTGATTTGTTGTTTGCGGTTGCCAATGCTGTGACACAGAATTGAAATCGCCTCCAACAACCACTAAACCTCTAACTTCACACCGGAGTAGGGGCTCCAAGGTTCCACTAATGCCTGGGGCACGGTATACGTTGACAAAGGGATAATATCAATGGATTTTTTTTTAATTTTTAATTTTAAATGAGGACTATTGTAAAATTCCGTTAGGGTTGAAAACCATTCCTATATTTTAGGCTCTCACGGAATATCATTGGATAGTACCTCTTGTATGCTTAGCTAGTCGACGAGCTAGACATGGGCCTACATGAAGGCCAAACCAATCAAATCAATACGTTGAGGGATCTAACCCCAGTCATTTTGACAATTGTACAATTGGCATCCTTAAGAGATTGTAATTCTGTTTGTCTCGCCAATCCTCAATATACATTTGCAGGGGTATCCATGCTACAATAATAACATTTATATCTTGAGGAAGGAAAAGCGACCAGGTTATGGAAAGAGATGAGGAAGAGACCTCTTAAGTTAATAATAGGACTGATATTTTCGAGGTGTTTCCGACTATGGATTGTTTGTGGGCGCCAAGATCAAGGTTACGGCTGATTAGCCGGGAGGGCTTCTTTTGTCGATGAGTCAACGGCACTCCCCAGCGCCTTGGACGGCACAAAAGAAGTTAGGCTAAGCTACTATGCAGCGATCACGCTCTGTCAAGACTTTTCTGAAATTTCAGCACGACCTTCGGGAAGGAGTTAGAAGGAGGCTAGAAAGGCAGAGGGTGAATTCTCCGAGGTACCCATAAGTCTGCAGTGTCCAGCTGGCCGGCCTCTCCGAACGCATCAGAAGGATCACTATGTCTTCGGATCTAGTCCTAATGTCGGTATAGAAGAGCTCGGCACCCAGTGGTTTTTGCGAATTTTCCCGGCTGCCATACACGCGCAAATGGCCATTGTTTCGCTGGTTGGAAAGGAAAGATAATGAAGGGCAGAGGGCTCTTCTAAGTGTATGATTGAATGAGAACTTGTGAGGGGAGGAACTGTTTGAAGGGAGCTGTAAAGGAGGCGTAGGAGGGGATATACAACTGGCATAGGTATCCTTGGCCTGTAGGCAGAGAGGAACTGCATTTCCTACATAGTCATAGTCTCAGAAAGGACAATAAAATGAAATAATGATAATGAAATAAAGTTTCACATCTGCGCATCACATAGGATGAGATGCTGCCCATCAATCCTCAATTTTAGCCTTTGCAAGGTTTTAAGCCATGCGCTTGGACGCTGCCAAAGTTGTTGGTCCACGTATTTCTGGTCTTTGGTTGTGCGCGCTGGAGGAAATGACTGAACACCTGTATACGGTGTCTACTACGAACTTGGGAGCGAAGTATTCTCCCAGAGCCAGGTTCAGTCAAATTTCGCAATACCGATCAAGTTGGCCCACGAGGCAATGATTCAAATTACACCGCCACGTCAATCTTTCACTGCCAAAGAGATCGAATCCTACCTAAGCCTCGTTAAGTCTAGAAGTACGACTAAGTACATCCTCATTCCAATGATCACACCTCTCATCGACTTTCTCTGGCCTCAGCCGGTCACCAAATACACGCCCACGCCGATATTTATACCCGACGGAGGACACAAAGCGTGGCGCACAAATCTGGGAGACAGTTCTTTGGTAATGGCGTGAGAGGATTCAGGACAAGTTAACAAGATGATGCGAAGGATGGAGTCAGTCACGACTGGCGTGGAATTTTGAATTCTGGCAAGGAGTTTTTACAAATTGAGCTTTGTGCGTGCCAAGACTTCGGTTGCGAGAGTGCAGGCGACACTATAAACACCGCCATGTTTGGATGGTGTCGCGATACATCGTCTTGGCCGGTCTGCCAAGTAGAGTCTGGATAGCTTGGACACATATCCCACTCGAGACAGCAGATTGCTGGTTCTAATCCGGCAAAAAACAACCATTTTTCTCGCGGCGCTGGTATACATGGATGACAAAAGCATGCTTGGATAACCAAAGGTTTTGAAATTCCCTTTGGTGAGTACTTGGGGAGGAGGGTCGACTGTTTGTGTAAGCGAACATAACTCATAGTGGTATTTGCAAATGGAATCCAGAGTATAAGTGTCTCTAACGTCAAAAGAGTCATCCCACGTGTATACACAGCACCGGTCATGTGTCATAGCTAGATAGCTAGATAGCTGAACACATATTTAATTATTTAAAAAAAAGGTTATGCGCGCTGATAGACTTCAGTCCTGCACGATGGTCCATCTCAAATTGAGAAATTTACAGTCTGGAGTTTTTTTGAATCATTTAAATGTATTTGACCATCTAGCCATGAGACGTGATCGTCATAATATATAGATATTAGATGACTCTTTTGAATTTAGAGACACTAATTTTCTAGACATCATTCGCAAATACCACTTTGAGGTGTTACATACTACTGTAGTCTCAGACATGGTGTAGATAGGAAAAATAAAAACACTCTGAGGTATGTTTTCTTACACAAATAGTCAGTACTTTCCCGTGAGTAACCACCAAAAGGAAGTCTCAAAACCGTTGATCATCCAAGTAGATGAGCACTGCGAGAAATGTGGTAGATCCATACGAGTTTCGGACCAATGAACTCCTGTGACAGATGGAATAGCTTCAAAAGCTATCCAACTCCAATTAAAAGGCCGGCCCGAGTCGTGGGACACTACATCATCAAGCCATAATCGTGTTTACAATGCCTTCTAGATTCCCGCAGTCGAGGACTTGGCGCGCAAAATGCTCAATGTAGAAAACTCCCTTACAGAAGTCAAAGTATGTCACCCCCCAAGATTGTATCCACCCACATTATTATCTTACCTATCCATCCTGATAGCCCTCACGTCCTTTCCAAAAAATTTGCATCCCAGATTAGAGCGCCAAAATGTTGTGATTATGAGCTTACGGTAGTCAATGAGCTGAAGCTCCTGTTTAGCATTATGTGCAGGACGTGATAACCTTGTGGTCTGATTGTTGTGTATTAAAGACTGTATCGATCCAGTGAGGAAAAGAATTTTGTTATGTACAAGATTGAAGTGTCCGTGCACTGAATATCACCCAACACAGCTACCTTTCTAATCTAATGCAATGCCCATAGACCACAAATTACAACACAAAACCTATCTCTTCCTCCGGATTTTGATACCAGCCTTGGCGTATATTTAGAGGTTAAAGACTGATATGGCGACAGGTGTGTCACTAATATAAGGACATACTAGATTGTACTTGTGAACTTGATAAAGCTTTGGTAGTAATCAATCTCACTGGGGTGTGAAAATTTAATACGGCAGGGAGCTCTGAACCATTAACTTGTGGGCCAGCTTCAATATTGCGAAATATTATAAAGCTTGGCTTTGAGGGTATTTATCAACTGAGGTTGTCAAAGGATACCATGGATATGTCTTTAGGTTTTGCACTCAGTTAATGAATATTGTAGCAAGTTGTGCACACTGATGGAGGACGAAGGCCCGATATCTATCTGCTTTGTCTCCTGAGAATTTTGGCTGTCAATGAAGAGGTTACAGAGCAATGGTTGAGTCTCGTTCTAACCAGAATGTTTTACATTTTCAATGAATATTCAGCACTGTCCACAAACCTAGACGACACATGCTTGCTAGAATAATTTAAAGTAAAAAGTGACAGTCAAGACTTTTCTGGCATCTCAACACATCCTTGAGTAGTCACGGGGTGCGAGCGGATAAAGAGGTTAAAGGAAGGTTAGGGAGACAGATATTATTATCTTGGGTACAAAAGAGTCCGCGGCGCATAGATGGCCGGCTCTTTGAACCTTCCCAAGGTATAGCTATTTCTTCGGATTTAGTCATGTCGCCGGCACTAAAGAAGCCCCGCGCACAGTTGTTTTTTCGAATTTTCCTAGCTTCCATACACCCAAAAGTAGCTTCTGTTTCGTTTATTCCATAGACGGCATAATGAGGAATGACACCCCTCAAATTTTATGATCGAAATAGCATTTAGGGCGCTATTGCAGGAAGGGAAATGTACAGTAAGCCAAATCATCTTTATTCTGTGTGCGGATGGACTTCGACTTCCTAAAAATCCACGTACTGAGAAAGGATGATACTTATAATGATGCATATGAGTCATAACACTGAGTGACTATTTTTCGAGCTTGAATATCATGCGAGACTCTTTCAAGTCGTTGGTCAATTCGCATGAATACTTGACGGTAGTTTCCGCGACTGGAAGAGAATAATGACAGGTTATTTTCTAAGGAATTTTCTAGCTTGACGCCGTCAAAATGTCTATTTATCCTATGTGCTTCCTGAATTAATCCTGCAGAGAAGTTGGATTGTAGGGCTCCCAATATCCTAGTCAAATCGGGTCAACGTAATTCCGAAGATGCAACATACGTGCGATTGACAGCTTTTATCTACATGTAAACCACCGAAAATGTCAACGCCAATTCTGATTATGCAAGATGTCCATTCCTGAGCTCGACATCAAAAAGTTTCAAAGTCTTCCCTCTGAGCAGCAGGATATCTATCTGCTTACTTATGTTTCTAACCTAACTAAACATGTCTGCCACCTTTCACCGGATGAATGCACTGCCCAGCAGCACTACGTCAAGAAAGAATTATTTCAAATACTGAACCTTACATCTTCTCCTCAATCGCGGGTCATTTACAACAATATCGGGCGATGTCTCGCACATATTTTGGGGACAGGAGATAGAAAGCTACTATTCGAAACAATTAACGACCTTAATTCAATCGTTATCAGCGGGAAAACTAAAGCAGAAGGAGATCTTAAAATTAAACATGCAGCAGTTCACAACCTGGGTGAAGTATTTGCCGCTGCTGGTGATAGTGCCATAGGATTGCATTCACTAGTATGTTCATCACTTTTAAAGACATTCAAAATAGCGCAACACAATACCGGATTGAAAGCTGCAATATTCAAAGCGTTAGGAAAAATTGCGGGAATAATTGGAAAAAGTATCGATGAAACTGTAGCCAGAGATGTTTGGAGGCAAGCCAGGACAAATGCGTCTGGCGATAAAGCAGTTTTGGTTCAAATTGCTGCGTGTGACTGTCTGAGTCAGTATAACAAAAATACTACCTACTTTGATAACTCTAACGACTTTGATCACCTCAAATCTACAATGTTTAGGACAATAGATACGGCAAGCTCAAGGCTACGTCAGGCTGCTGCCGATTGTTTAGCCCAAGCTTTAGTTAAGAATCATTCTGAAAATCCACTTAACGAAAACGAGATTCAAGTTACCAAGAGTTTAAAACGGAACAGCACATGGAGACCTAAAAAAGGAACAGGAGACGAAGATGAGACTCAGAAGCCAGAAATTCAGGTCCCAAAAAAAACAAAACTATCATTCACACTACTAGAAATTTTGAAACAACTATCCACATTCTATGTCAAAAGTTCCACAAGCAGCAGGTCACGAGCAGGAATTGCGATTTGCTATATAAAAATTTTCAAGACTTTGGGTGAGAGTAGTATGGAAGCGATGTACATGAAGATCGCTGAACATCTTACTGTGGATGTGTTGAGCCATCCAAATATAACCAACAACAGATTTCGTTTGCTAAGTACGAGGAAATTTGTTCAAGTGATTCTAGAAGATGTGGTAGGAAATAAGATACTAGCTGATGCTGGCCAAACTCATGCTGCTATGCAACTGATCAATGATGTCCTAAAAAAATACTCTGAACTAGCTAAACAACAATTAGAGCCAGGGAAGCAGATGCTCATTTCGGTACTGAGCGCTCTAGCGTCTCTAATTCAAAATTTAGGACCAGCTTCGAATGCATTTTCGGAACCTTGTAAAGAAAGTTTATTACAGGTCCTACAGCACCCAAGCTATACAGTCCAACTATATGCTTCTTATTGCTTGCGCACTCTTATGCTAGCTTGTCCACAGCAATTGATTCCTTGTCTTACAATCTGCATGAAAAATATCACTAGTGAGCTTGACCTCATAAGTACAGGAAGAAGCTCATGCCTTAGATGCATTGGTCATGCAAATGGGCTATGTGCTATGATAAGTACTACGCCCATGCAGCCCCTATACGGCTCAGTAGATATAAATAGCCAAATTCTCACCCTGGCAACTAATCTGCTCAAATCAAGTAGCAAATCAGAACTTAGGGCATCCAGTACACAAATCCAGGTTGCATGGATTTTGATCGGCGGTTTAATGTCATTAGGGCCTAACTTCGTCAAAATCCATCTACCTCAGCTACTCCTACTGTGGAAGAATGCTCTACCCAAGCCATTGGCTAAGGACAACACATCTCATCGTAGCTATCTCGAGTACTGCTTTCTGACACATGTAAGGGAATGTGCTCTTAGCTCAATATTGGCGCTTCTACAATTTAACGCTAGGTTATTAACTGTAGATGTTTCAAAGCGTATTGCCTCAATGCTACAAAACACTACTTTGTTCCTCAAAAACCTTCCATCAAAAAAATTCAGTGATGATATAACTCAGCGGCTAACACCTTCGCTGCAATTATTTGACTTAGACCTTATGACCCAGCGTCGTGTATTACAGTGTTATACAAAATTGGTCAACTTAAGCCCCGAAGGCAGAGATACGTTATTCCAATCAAATCTTCTTACAATGGCAGTATCATTCTTTGCTGACCCAGAAGACTATAGCCAGCGCTCACTAAGTACATCTATTGCCAGCTCGGCAGGGAATTTCGAGACAATATGGGACCTCAGCGACAATTACGGTTTTGGAGTTAATGGATTAATTCATGGATTTAAAGTAAAGAAGCTTTATGGTCAGCATGATAGCCACGAAGTAGATGACTGGATTCAGAGCAATGGAAGTGAGGCAGGTATCATGAATGACTTAATTTCACCGATATGTAGTTCTCTAGAGCATGATTCTCTATCACTTTACATTGAAGACTTAAAAAACCCCGATAATATTCCGGATTCACCTGCTACTGAGGTAGTTAATGTAGCCATCCAACTTTTTGCTTTTGCATTTCCTCTGGCACCCCCAAAAATTCAAGAAAGCATATTAGAGCAGATAATAACTTTCATATCGACTGGGTCCTTACAACGTGATCCTGGAAGGAAGGCAGCTATGAATATCAACGTTGCGACGTCTCTATACTATACGTTAAAAGTAGCTGTGAAGGAAACAAATTCTCCTTCGGGAGACATAACAAGCACAGCCGTTGTGAATCTTATGCAGGGTCTACTACGCCAGTTTGTCATACATCCAGATCATTACGTTCGTCGACTTGGATATGAAAGTTTAGCTAGGATGTGTAAGATTTCGGGGAGCTCATTTACAAACTCTGAGATAAAGCATCTCGTTGATATTATCATTGGAAACCGTGAGCCTAGTGCAAGAGCTGGTTGTGCAAAAGCTCTCAGTGCTGTTCATTCACAAGTTGGAAACATGGCAGTAGGATTTCATTTGAAGACTATTGTTGGTATATTAATGTCTCTTGGTAACGATCCTCATCCCACCGTACATTTCTGGGCACTTGATTCTCTATCGATGGTAGCGGAATCTGCTGGCTATAACTTTTCGGGATATGCTCTAAGCTGCTTAGGGATGTTAGGGCAATTATATGTAGTAGATACGCACAACGAAGAAGTTTCCTCTGCTATCAACTCAAACCTGGAAATAGAGCTACCAACTCCAGCAGTTATTGCTCGCTGTGTTGATGCCCTTGTGAATGTACTCGGGCCAGATTTACAGGATATCGTAAAGCCACGAGAGTTGGTCTTAACACTTGTCAGTCAACTTCAGGATGAGGAAAGTCCTCTAGTTCTAAGTGGAAGCTTACGTTGTCTGGAGCATTTATCTCTCTACGCTCCAGGACATATGGTATTTATTGACTATGTCAGACTCCTACAGAAAAAGCTTAACTCAGGTAATCCACAGCTAAGGGAGATTGCAATAGATGGTCTTTACAACTTAATGAAGCGAAACTCAGAAGAGGTTGTGAAGGCTGCGGAATCTGGATTTGAAGATCAGCTTTGGCTTGCACTGGATTCTACCCCCAACCATGAAGGTCTAAAGAATGTCATTCGAAATTGGCTAGAACAGTCATGTCTTACGGAAACATCTCTATGGCTTCAGAGGTGTCAAACGGTCTTAACTATGACCCGACCGAAATGTACGGACGCTATGAAGTCTTCCACAAAGACTACCAATACAACTCTAGATTTGCAGGATGAAGAAGTTGCAGGATTTGCTGCAGCTTCAGGCCTTAGCAAAGATGATGCGGCAGGATCTGTTTCTGGACAAGAGCTTTTAAGGTGGCAAGTCCGAAGCTTTGTCATGAGCTGTTTACATGAGATATTTGTGATCGTTAGTAGAGCTACATCTAAGAATCTTGATGGCGCATCATCTGCAACAGTAGCGCTTCAAAAGAAAGTCGCCGAAGTCATTCGTATGGCATTTTCGGCATCGACTTCAAATGTACTCACCCTTCGAGTCTGGGGCTTGAAAGTTATCGATGATACCCTCAAAATGTTTGGAAAAACTCCTGATCCAGATTTTATTGAAGCACCATTGTTAGAACAGTACCAAGCACAAATTAGTTCAGCTTTAACACCCGCATTTGCATCAGATTCATCTCCGGAGCTAGCATCTGAAGCTATAAATGTCTGCGCCGTATTTATTGCGACTGGTATTGTTACTGATGTCGATCGAATGGGTCGTATTTTTAAGACACTAGTCACAGCCCTTGAAAACTTTTCGACAGGGGCAGAAACTCAATCTATTGGAGACTTAAAAGATCTAAGCTCGAATGCCCAAGTCATGGTTAAATTGGCTGTATTCTCGGCTTGGGCTAAACTACAGGTCGCAAGTATAGAGCAGAAGTATCTAGTTGGAATTTTAAAGCCATACGTTGGTACACTCACGCCATTATGGCTTGCTGCCCTCAGAGAATTTGCGCGACTCCGTTTTGAGCCAGATATCTCAATGACATTGGGACCGCCTTCTCTTTCAGGCAGCTTGGATAGTATCTACTCAGCCCTCAATCGTGAAACTTTACTCCGATTTTACCAAGAATCATGGTTAAAACTTGTTGATGCTATTGCAAGTCTAATCGAGCAAGATAGTGAATTTGTTTTCGATGCCTTAGACGGAAAAGAAACTGACACACCAACAGTTAATGGATATTCTAAATCTAATGATATTAACTATCGAGATGAACCCGTGGCCTTCTTTTTTGTGTTATTTGGCATTGCCTTTGAAGCATTAGTCACTCGAATTGGGACTGATGCGTTAGCAACTAGAGGACAGACGCTATATATCCTGGAGGCTCTTAGAAAAATACTTCATCCAAGCGTCTCCGGTCATGCTATATACCGTGAGGCGGTGTTTTCCGAGACAATGGACTCATTAGATCGGCTCGTGCTCACCGAAGGTTTAGACGTTCAAGGAGTGATTGTGCAAATTGCACGGAGACTCTGTATTTCTCATCCATCAGCAACTAAGTCGGAAGAGATAGAGGATGGCGATTTATCAGAAGATATTGACCAGCTTTTTGAGCTAACGCGTATAATTGTGCTGGTTCTGACAGGAATTTTACCAGATCTCGTCGAGAGTAAACCAGCTGCACGTCATCAGCTGAGTGATGAAGCAGTATCTCTAATACGTGTATCTTTAAGTTCTTTAGTTGATGCTGCGGAAGTTTTTCCATCAATCATAAAGACAGATCTACATGCTTGCATTATCCATATATTTGCTACAATACTTGGTACTGTAAGCTGCCAAGCATTAGTAGTTCCCCAGTCACTTCCGATCTTTAAAAGATTCATTCACAGTATATCTACAGCGATAGATAAGGGTTCCAAAAATACAAATACTAACATTTTACAAATACAAGGTTGCCTTAAACGACTTTTATCAATTTACTTTGATGCGCACAAGCAAGAAACGGAGGCTTCTCTTCTTTGTGTTAAGAACATACTTTTAGCCACCACCATACTGCTCACTGGTGGTAAGAATCAACTCACAGCAAGTGAGCCTCTAGTTTCTTGCTTCTTGGATGAGTTACTAAATTGTTTGAATGATCGCCTGGTATGTTCAGGTCCTAACCTGACTTGATTTATATAGCTAATTATGGCTCAAGACTGCCAAGGTTGCTATAGGTTGCGTTCGCACACTCCTACTGCAATCACCAAAAACACTAGCAGATCAAAGTATTTCTCGCTACTTGCTACCTCGTCTGATTGCATTTGGATCGAACTCAAGACATGAGGACCCAGAAGATGCTAGATCGCAAATCATGCATACTCTGACAAAATTTTCCTCTACATTTTCGGGTGAAGCAAGAACGATTGCAGTCAACCTCGTATTATCGGCACTTCTAAGTAGAGCAGTAATAGAAGGACCAAATATATATTCAGAAACCAGTGCTAGGCTCTTTGATCTTGCAGCAATAGATCAAGTAACTTTTCGAAGTCTAGTCGGTGAGATGAATGAAGGACAGAAGCAACTCATAGAAAATGTGATATCGGCGGGTAGGCAAGCACAAGTGGCCGATAAGACTCTGGATAATGATATGGATTTAAAAGGGCCAACAATAGAGCTCAGGATGGACTTTGGAATGTGAATCCAGAAAATTAGCCAGTTCAGCAGATTTGGTTTCTTTCAATTCTTAATTGCTTATTTATTAGGTGTACCCCTTATTGGAGATGGAAATAATCTTTCTTGTAACATTCAACTAATTCTCGCAGTAGGATTTAATATAAGATATCTTATCTTGCATCAACAGAGCTATCGGTTTCGAGACCCTAATTCTATTTTACTCTTTCCAGTTAAATACGGAATGATCTAGTATTCACAACAGATCTCTGTGTGTAACATAATAAATAGAAATATCGGTTCCATCTAGTTTAGTATTTAGTGCGAGGAAGCCGTTTTCGATCGATACTAAAAAGATAAAATTTGACAGAAATTAATATATTTTGGGCGATTTATCAAGAGAAACTGGTTTGGGTCTTCCATATGATCGAAGAAATAGTGTAAATTTTCCGTAGCCTAAATACCCACAAGGCTAGCACTACAAGTCTACATGGAATTGATCACGAAACTGAAGTCCTCGCCATGAACACTAAAACTTGGTAACAGTAAAACTCGCCTTTTTGATGTAGAAAGTCTTTAACTATAGACCAAGAATGTAAATTTTCCAGATAGCTCTCTCTTTTCTATTGTCATGGGCTAGGCTGTGTATGATTACGGTGCGGACTTGTTACAACGATAGTTAATATAAAGATATTCGCCTTATAACGATTTCCTCTTCGCGCACGCACTACGTTCTCATAGTAATATAAATAATTAACGGTATTCAATATACCGATGTCGCCGCCGCCCTTTTATCGTCATATTAAATAACTGTCACATGATGTAACCACTGTCATTGGCTGAAGCCTGATTATTTTTAGTCATGTGCCTAATAATCAAGGCTTAAATTACTGTTTCCAAGTTTAATTCTAAGTATGTGCTGCACTTCCCGACATGACTTATTAGGCCTGGTGGAAGTCTAGATCCACCTCATACAAATAAATTCTTAAATAGCGATTAATATTACAGACACGACGACGAGAATATTGAGGTGGAGGAGGAGGAGGTCACGCTTATGGATATCATTGCTGCACATACATGGCACAGCAGGAGGAGCACGAGGAGTCCTTTACCCTTCATTATCCCCCTCCACATTGCGAAAGGTAAGATATTTACAGGTGTATAGCAGCTGGGAAACCTTGAAGATATAGCTTTATACAAAACATCTGTAATACTGATATTAAGGCTGGAGCCGAAGATTTGGCTGATCTTCTGAACCATTGGGGAATTCCAAACATTCGGGCATTGTCAATTTGTGTACGTCGAAAAACAGTTTTCTACCATACCGGAATTTTTCTATGTTCAGTGATTCGAGCTAGAGGGAGAATCACGAATCATGTTAGGGTATCAGGAGAGAATTCACTCAGGGAACATGGTGTATCGTAGCCTAATGCGTTACAACGATTAAATCGGGCATTCAAAGTGTCGCAGTAGGAAAGGGACGTAAAACAGCAACTTAACGGTGTGAAAAGGATGGAGAAGTTAAGAGAGCAGATGGACTAGACGTTAAGTACAAAGAGATGTTTTTACAAATATGAGCTGGTTAAGTAACTGTGCGCTTGAGCAGCTTCTGGAGTATCCAAATATTGTTCCAAAGCACCGAGTCCAACTGCCGACATCCGGTAGCCGGAATACCTAATACCTAACAGCTGACTCTAAACACTTAGTACCGCCGTCTAATTTAGTCGCTTATGTAGTTTCACCCCAATTTCTCCAAGTATTGAATAATTGTTCCACAACAGGTGCCGAGAATCTGCGCATATTCAAACAGCTGAAGCCTCACTAGCAAGTTTGTGCGAAAAGAAATGACTACGCACCACGACTACGGCGAAAGGGTGCAGCTGGAAGGGATACATGGCCTATAGCCCTTGTGAAAGGACGGAACATAAGCTTCTAGCTAACGTGTGCCCAAAACAGAATTTAGATTCTGTCTAAAGGGAGAAGGATACCTAGTACGGATGTTCATGAATATAAAATTACTCGTCGCGTAAGGCCCCCCTTTACATAAGCAATAACAACGCTTGACCACAAATGTGTTAGCGCTTGGCAAGGGACCGGAAAAATTCCGGTTCCAGACTATATGGCTACAGTTTGTAAATGAAGCTATGTGTAAATTAGTGCCATCTTTTACTTGAATCCGAGTAAAGTTTCTCGCAGCAGTTCCATCCGAGTCCTGGTAGGGAATAAATACTCAACACCTGTCTGTGGTATCCTCTACGAACCTCCAGCTCTCACTGTAGAGTCTGCAGAGCCATGATTAAGTATCACCTTCGTCCTCACTTTGATGAGGATTCCCGATCGCTTCCGCGGTCTGTAACGTCTTCATCCCTAAGCACATTCCCCTATCACCACTGTCATGAAGCTAACCACGATCAGATTAGATGGTAGGGTTAGAGCCCTTCTTATTACCAGCCCTTGATCATGGAGGAAAAGCCATCCGATGAGTTTCTGGAGCGTACCCAGCACCCGATACGGCGATGGTGGATTGGATCAAGTCGGCCTCGACTGTTACAAAGAAGGGAGATATAGATGAATATGCGCACCTCATGTGGTCCCGGTGTCTAGGCCTCGCCTGGCTGGGGCTGCAGGTTTTTTGAGACTTTTTCCCGCGCACGCAGTGTCCATTGCTACCATTTTTTTGGGGGGGGGGAGAGAAGGTTCCGTGGAAAAGGTGGCCGAATTCCACGGGTATACACTGAGCTGAATGGCTATTCATCACGGGCAATATATCAATGATCTTTCATGAAACATGATAGGCACGGAGCATTGTACAAGGTGTAATCGGGTCAGAGAGGAGCATAATATGCTAGATAGTCATATACTCAATTAGTACTATAAACACAAACACACTGTTATGTTATGTTATGGCCATAAGTGTCTGAGTGTTAGCTTTGTAGTTGTTTTTGTAGAGCAAGGTGATTGTTACGGGGGGGTGGATGGTGCAGCAGTACACCATTCGGGCCGTTATCCCTTGTAGATTCTGGGTAGCTTGAACACCTGCTCCATTTGAGACAGGAAACAATTTAGAGAAACTCTTCGCCAGCACAGACAAATTCTTCACTTTCCAGCAGTGCTAGAGCGATAACTCAGCATGCTATACATATTTGTGATAGCTAAGATGAATCGTATCCGAATCAAAATTCTCATCATACGCGAACCGTTATTATCTGTATTTATCGAAAGAGTAGAAAATTGTGTATAGTTTTTTTTAAAATAGAAGACAACTGAGTCCACTCTATGGAATTGCCAATGACATTATCCATTAATTTACTAATTTTTCATTAAGTTACAGTGGTATCATTATACGTACAAGGTGAAAATGTTTGCTTGAAATACCATACCTAGACAGTGAGGTGGTCCCAGATCTACCCTGAACTCCGAGTATATTACAATTTAACTCCAGCTCCATTTTTCCTCAGATTGGTCGTACTTTTCGATAACTCGGGGGCTTGACGGCTGTCCAGATTGATTTTCCAACATACGGTGGGACTAGAGAGATTGCAGAGATGGCTAAAATTCGCCAAAGAAACCCCCTATTACTTGTCAGCGTTTGTAGTGGTAATTGTAGGGAGAGGGGGTTATATTTGGAAAGGTGATTATTACCATGTCACTAGGAATGCTAGATCAAAATACCCACCCAAAAATGGAATACTCCCCAAATAAATAAGAGCTGTTCCAATAAGACTTATAATCATGTTAGGATGCCATGTCGTGACCTCAAAGGCAACCATACACAGCTCGTTTAATATGAGCACTGTAAAGCTAACTGAGACCATTTGAGGCCCATCCACCTCGGTGAGAATTTGACTTAGACCTTGAATCATGCCACCCTGATAGACGGAAACAAGGACCCAAACGAAAAATGTACTGTAAGAAAGAGAAGCCCCTGTCGTAAGTTCTTTGTAAAGTTCGGGATATAGATTTGCCAGGTTTTCATCAACGTCTTTGTCAAGGACCAGAGAGAATACTGGTGCCATAGTATAGATAGTAGCATAGCCAACTAAGAGCCAGTCTTTGTAGAGTCCTTCCGGTTCAAATCTAATGGCAATACTGTACATTGTCTGGCAGACAGAAATTATTAGACCACGATGAATAACAAACTGTGCGAGTTTGGCAGAACGTTTGTACGAATTTCTTCCATGCCAGACAAGGAGCTTAGTCAGATGACAAAATTGTGTAATGGAAAAGTCTGCGGCTAAAGAGGCCTGCCTGCCTTCCTTTCCAACAATACCGACACCTACATCAGCAGCTTGTATCATTGATACATCATTGCCACCATCTCCAATACAGCATATACGCTTTTTGGTAAAAGTTCGTATTAAAGATGCAATATCTGCTTTTTGTGTTGGAGAGCATCGGCAGGCTATGACGGCAGGTAGAAGAACAGCGATAGAGATAAATTCTGTACGGAAATACGTAAGTAGGAGAGTAAGTGACTCTCCATCAATTAGAAGTGCAGATTCTTGCTTCCCGCGGAGAAAATCTAGGTGTTCTTGAGCATTGTCTTTGCGCGTTAAGCTAATAATAGTATGAATATACTGTCCTCGAGCAACAAGCTTCGCAGAAACGGCGATACAGCGAGCCGTTTCAATCTTGTCTCCTGTCAGCATCCAGATTTTAATACCAGCATTTCGGAGGAGTTCAAGGGAGGGTTTGACATCCTTCTGTAGTTTATCTTCTACACCGGTCACACCGAGCAGCTCAAGGTCGCATTCTAAATATTGATTTATAACGCGCGTCATGCCTTCATCACGATTATTTATGGCTAGAGATGCTTCTTTGTATTTTCGTTCGAAATCTTCATATTTTTGAGTAGAAAGATGTTTTCTGCCAATGACTAGGGTTCGAAGTCCTTCACGAGCCATGTTTGCAGCCTCTTCGTCTAGCCAATCGTTGGAGGCAACAATGGATCTCATAACAGAATCGGCACCTTTTTGATAAAACCATATTTGACTGTCTCCGATATCGTTTGATGCTAGCTCTATGTTTTCGAAGAACTTAACTATTATTCCCATTCTCTTGCTGCTCGAAGTAAAAGGAAATATCTCGAGAATTTTGACTCGAACCACAGGACGACCGGTTTCGATAGATTGCAGGGTCATACTCCTCCGATCACGATGAGTTAGCTGAAGACCTGCGGCTTGAGTCCACTGGACAATAGCTATTTCATCTGGCGATGAAGCTTGGTACGATGTTACAGCAACACCATCTTTTTCTTCAGCGGTTGGTATAACGCTATGGCATATTGCCAGGGCTAAAACGACGTCTCGTACGCGAGACCCGATCTCTCGTCGTGTGCGAGTCGACGTAGAAGTTGATACAGTAAATTTTGATGATGGAGTAATAAGCAAAGATGGTTGATTAGAGGGTTTTGAAAAACCTTGCTTTACATAAGAGGCGATTTCTTCCATAGCTTCATTGGCGTACGAAACAGTTCCGATGTGGATTTTTTTCATCTCCATTTCATTTTGCGTTAGAGTTCCAGTTTTGTCACTTAATAGGTATTCTATTCGCCCCAATTCTTCTGGAATTGTACTTGTTCTAACCACTGCACCCTTTATGTCTGAGTCTCTTTGGATAAACCATGAATAGACGCTTTTTCCCATATCAAGGTTCACACGTAAACCGATTGGAACAATGGTAGAAAATAGAACTAGAAACCTCATAATCTTCACGTACCATTGAACGCCGTCAACCTGTCCAAATCCTTCCAAAACTACTAGAACAATAGATAATGTGAGAGTGAGTGCACATAGGATTTTAGTAAGAGAATTAATTTCATGCTCAAGAAGACCAGTTTTGGAGCGAGACGAGGATGTAGAGAGTGCAGACCTTGTTTGAGGTCCGGTATAGACAACTGCTGCAAAGGTCGTGGCATTTGAGGCGAGTACAGTATTGCACCATGCTGTGTTGTCAATATTTAAAGGGGCTGTATTTTTATTTTTAGATGGCTCATCGTTGTTTGAGGATTCATCTTTCGGTGATTTTTTAGGGACAAAAGGATCATACCCAGCACCAGTCTTTGGTAAAAGCTCAATTGTACCGATAAACTCGTTAACCTTCCTATCAGGTTTCCTGGCTAAAATACGTAGCCGTACAAACTCAGAGACTTCAAGAGACTGAGTTATAGGGGATCCTAACCGAAGCTTCCAGTCAGTCTCTCCATCAAGTTGATCAGTACGAATGAATGTCTCCCCAAAGCCCTCCCTATCAATTTTTTGCTTATTTTTTGGCTGCGGTATTGGCTCAGGGATTTGCGCTAGATTGTTCGGTCTTTTGTCTGGAGGGAAGTCAGAGATAGTTTCCACTAGTAGAGATTCTTGTGGTATATTGGTTTCTATTGGTAGAGCATCTAAAGATTTGTTCGTAAAGCTCTTTAGGATTATAACATCAGCTGGAACACGTTGATCTTTTTCTAGCTTCAATACATCACCAACTTTCAAATCTCTAGATTTGCAGATAGTCTCTCGAACACTAGACGACGGTCGAAGGTTTTCCTCACCGTTCTCCGCAGATTCCTCTTCCTCCTGTATGTCTGATAATCTTTCTCTCACAAGCGGTATTAATTTCTTTCCTTTCATTTTACTCTTTGATTTAAAACTCTTGTTCCGTTGATAGCCTTTGATACCAACATATTCTTGCTTGTCAAAGCGTAATACTGTATAGCCCTCAGAGTTGGCCTCACTGTCCCTCTTCCTACGCTCTATATCGTCAATTGCTTCTTTACCTAAAGTTATCGTCATAACGAAAATTAATGGTACCACATATGTTGAAAGGTATCCAATTCGCAATGCTGGTATAGCTTGTGAAACAGCAACCAGTAGAAAATACATATTGAAGAAGAATGAGAATTCGTTGTAGAGAGTACGGGGTAAGAAGCTGATTGGAGTGTACTTTGCGTTTGAAACAGCATTAGGAGGAAACCGTGCGGACTGAAGCGTTCCAACAGATATCGTTCGAGAAGATGCCGGATCATGCTCTACTTCCGGAGATTCTGAGATAGCATCTTCTGTGGTCATCGGGGTTGCTCTATATCTCGAAGGCCAGAGGTGAGTCCCGAGTTTGCTAAGTGTGTCTCTTCGTCGTCGCCGAGAATCGTGTGGAATGTGAGAGCTTTCTCCTAATCCTTCAGCAGGATATTTATTTACCTCATTTGTGTTATGATCATCATCCAGCAGACCGTGCATATCTTCTATATCTCTTTCTAAGTTGTTGGAGGTAGGATTTCGTCTTCCTGCTACTCTCATCCCGCTCATGCGCAAATTTCTTAAGGGAATATGACTAATCTTTCGATCATTGCCTGGTTGGCCATCCTTTCCAAGATCAAGTTCCTGCTCATCAATCTCTAGGTCTGAGTCAGAGTCAATACTGTGCGCAGTGATAGCATCCGCTTGATAATATGGGCCCGACGACATGCCGCACCCATACAGTAAGCAAAAGCTGTACTTGCTGAGTTGTTTAGGTTGAAATCAAATAAGATCTCTTGATATTATGTGTTGCGAGTAAATAAGAGGTGATGTGTAATCCGAAAGCAAGGCTGTTGTTGCGCGCAAAGCAATTATTCTATTTTCTGAGAGTGAAGTACGAAAAAAAGGCAGTATTTGATTCAGTTTACTCGCTGGGAGTGCATTTGAATAGCTAAAAAGAAATTATTATTACAATTGGAAGAGTATATCGTTGTTGGAAATGAAATAGGATCAGATGTGGGCTTAGGTCGGCTGTATTTCACCACTTTAGACTTTGGATATCATCGCTACCTGTGTCGCCACTTTGAAGGCAAGCTGGCCTTATTATCCCGCCACATCCATATTATCTCAATCCAACGCTCAACTTTAATACAAAGGTCCTTTTTTCTATTCGAGTGCTATGAGTCTTCATCAACCTCTAAAAGACATTTCCTTGTTCCTTGAATTTTTAGCAGCTTAGAAACTTTTCTCTAGATCTACCAGTTATTCCTGATAGCTTCGAAAGAGGCACTCTCATTCTGAATACTGGAGACGCCAGAACTTATCTTTGGAAATCAGATCTCTTCTAGAATGTCTTTTGAAATTTCCGATGGACACTGGAATCCAGCATTTAGGCCTAATTCCAATAAAGATCGTCCATATCTCACACATGTGTCCCCAACATCACAAGCCTTACAACAAGAATCAAAACTTCAAACTGGTCTTCAACAACAAGATGAAGATGTTCAAACACCGGATGTGCGTAAGACAACTGCAATAGAGAACCCATCTGTTAAAAGAGTGCAAGAATTAAACCTGGAACATGAGTCAACGAGTCATCAGATCAAACTCAAGTACAAAAATAATGAAGATATTACAAAGGTAGAACAGTGCAGTGGGAGTGGTATTGTTTCGAAACCAAGCCATCAAATCCAAAATGAAGAAGGTTACAAAGAGGGTTTCAAAGAGGAAAACACTGGTCCGATAAGATCCCCTACCAAGCACAACAGTACCCTTTCCTTCGCCCGAACTATATCTGAAGAAGTTACCTGGACGGATGATGAAATTGATCATGACTGGAAGTTGCAAAGAACAGATACGCTCTTTGGTATTATGGAGAAGTCAGACCTTACCGACTCAAACTCTAAAGCTTCAACAGAGCTTGATGTTCAGAGCCACATCATCAATAATATTCAAGCGATCAAAGAGGTAAATGAAGATAACGAACAGAATTTTGGATTTAGTTGTATAGAAACATCACTCCAAAATAGGGGAAACGATAGTAATGCCGATACTCTATTCCAACACCAAAAAAATGACCTTTTCAACCTTTTCCAAGAGGATAAAGATCTAGGACAGAAAATAGCCACAAAAGATGTTCCGGTTAACTTATCCGCACAACAGCCACGGGATTTAGACTTCCTTTCAAATCATGAGGCAGACGATTCGAACTTTTTTGAACTTGTGGGAAATTTAGGTATGACGGTGAATAACCAAATATCTACACAATCAAATCCAGAATCCACATCTCAGATAGTGGATCCCGGTTTTTCTAAACCTAAAGACACAAATAAATTCGAAAATGAGTCAAATCATGAGTACACTCAGATAAATCCTGAACAAAGTAATGGTGCCCTTGAATCAACTACCACCATGGATTCCTTATCTTTTCCGCGAGAACCAAACGAAATAAACACAACCAGACTAGGTAGTATTGAAAACTGCGAGCCAGCATCTACGGATGAAGATTTAGTTGCGAAATGGAAAGCAGCCTTTTCTGATGACCAAGCCAACGACGACTTCCTGGAAACCGATCAGCTTTTATCTGATAGTGAAGATCTAAATGAAAATCAAAAAGACCGAAATGAAGTTGATCCAGCGGCATTATTTGGGAGCGACGATGAAGGCTTCCTAGAGGATATTCAAGAAAATTCTTCAAGTGTGCTCGTGCAACCAACAAACCTCCCTGCCCAAAAATCAGTAACAATTCCGTCAGCTGGTGGAATAAATAGCGTAGCTAGAAAAGAAGATTCGATTTACCCTGGCAGAAGCAGCAGTAACTACAGTCTTTATGCTCCAATTAGTAATGAAATAGTTGATCCTTTATCAAAATCTAGTTACCTACCTCAAAATCCACACTATGCAAGCATATCAGATACTCCGAAAACTTCGGCTGTGATCTCATCCCTCACATCTAAGCCAGCTGTTACAATTCCACCACCACCAAAATCCATCCGACCAGATATGCCAGAAGCCAAAAGCTTTGCCAAAATGTCTAAAGGAGGCTACTCATCCCCATACGACCTACCCCTCGAATTTTTGCCCAAGAAACGCGGGAATCTTCAGCAGATAAGTAGTGGCATTCCTCCGCAAGCTATAGTTCCACCTCCAAGAAATAGTAGCCTGTACAGCCCGCCACCAGTACCAATAAATCTTCCAGAAGGAACACCCCAACCCCAGACATCTCCTGATGTTCAATCCGAAGTAAGACCTAATAATCCACGTGGTGGCTTTTTCAAAGACTTGCCACCTGCGAATACTTCATTCACTACGAGAAGTCCCGGCCCATATACTCCGGATCTAACAAGTACGTTTAATAATCCACAAATGATTTCTCAATCTAAACTAGACTCTTCCAAAATGTCTTCATCACAAGCTCAGCAAAGTCCAGGTATCTCTCAAGGTTCATTCATACATCAGGGACTTGTACAACCGGAACGAGTTGGTCCATATTCATCAATATCAGCATTAAATCCATCTACCCCACCACCTCTGGTACACTGTCAAACTGTACCAATACAGGCACATCATCAAGTTAGAAATAAACCTGAATTCCATGCTGGAATTAAGAAATACGTCCCTTCTTTGAAGACCCCTCTTTCATCATCTACAAACATTTATTCCTACGAGGCTCAACATTCAAGTCCACAAGCTTCTATTCCGAATGGTCAAGACACAGAACTAGCTGAAACCTCTCATGTTCAATTAAATAGCTACGACCATAATCAAACTACTTTCATGCATGAGCCACCCATAGCACCGCTCTCAACGAGTGAGGAGTCAATTGAGTATGAATCAATGCAACCAAGCCAAAAGAAAAGTAATCAACCTAGAATTCAAGAAAGATCTGTCACACTAGATTACAAGAACTTGCCTCCCTCCAGCTCTATGTCCCAATTCCAAAGTCCACCCTCAAAGAATTATTACTCAAATTTCACACGTCAGAATAACAGCAGCTCCCCTGAATTTGCTCCGCCACAGAGGTCACGAACTCAATCACCAAGATCTACAGTTCTCGGCTCGTACCATAAATTTGCAACATCAGAAAAATTAAAACGACCTGCTTCTGTGAAACCTATTCCTTCGGAATCAAGATCTTTGTCTGGTCGTCAGAATAACTATCAAAACGATGCAATATTTTCACAGGTAATGGCAGGAGTGACCCCGCAGAAAACAGGCCAAAATGACCAAGTCACTGATCAAAGTATTGACCCTCTTAAAATACGTAAAGGATCAGTCATATTTGCCTGGGGTTCAGGTGGTACAATTGTGACATCCTTTCCCAGAGCTATGCCAAGATATACGATGAATGAAACTGCCCCAATAATGATGCGAAGTTCGGGAGAAATTAAAATCCAAAACGTCAAGACAATGGAACTTCTTGGTCCACTTCATGCCAAATTTCCGGGACCACTAAAAGGCAAAGCAAAGAAAAAAGAAATATTAGCATGGTTAACAAGTGGTATTGACCTCCTTCAGTTGAATGTCTCAAGTTCAAAAATAGCTCTCTTATCCATTGAGGACAAGCGATTGAAGGAGCGTGTTCTCTTATGGCAAATCCTTCGGATATTTATTGAACAGGATGGTATTCTAGATGGAAAATCTAACGTTGAAAAGGCGGTGCTAGAGGTACTTTCTTCTGGGCTTGAAAATGAAGATGGGCTCGATACCCATCTCTATGCTAATGGTGTAGAATTGATTGGGAATCCTAATACTTTAATAAAGCCATGCCCTGAATCTTCTATTGTTAAAACAGAATCTGTTGATATTGTTACAATTGATGAAATGAAAAAATTTCTCCTCCATGGCGAACGAGAAAAAGCGATATGGGAAGCCGTCGATAAAAGACTTTGGGCACACGCCCTTCTTATGGCCAATTCCGTGTCTCGGGACCTATATAAACAAGTTGCCCAGGAATTTATACAAAAAGAGGTCAAGGATATCGGAGAAAATACTCAGTCACTTGCAGCGCTGTACGAAATATTTGCAGGGAATTTCGAAGAGAGTATCGATGAGCTGGTAGCTCCATCTGCACGTGCTGGCTTTCAAATGGTGAGCACTGTGAAGGGTACAGAACCATCGAAAGACGCTTTAAACGGCCTCGATAGATGGCGTGAAACCCTTATTCTTGTTTTAAATAACCGAAGCGCAGAAGATCATCGTGCTTTGATTTCTTTGGGGAATTTACTTGCTGGCTACGGTCGTGTCGAGGCAGCTCACATTTGCTTTTTTTTTGCAAAAAATCACGCTATATTCGGCGGAATTGATGATCCTCAGACAAACATTGTACTAGTTGGCTCAGATCATCTGAGACAACCCTACGAATTTGATAGAGATCTAGAACCAATTCTTCTTAGTGAAGTCTTTGAGTATGGAAATTCCCTTGCCGGCTCTACTGCCAGTTTAGCGTCAAATCCTCATCTTACTGTATATAAATTGCAACATGCAAAAGTACTCGCAGAGAATGGGCTTCACGAAAAAGCTTTACAATACTGTGAGAATATTGCTTCCTCAATTACCTCGCAAACTAGAAGATCGCCTTATCATCATAACTTAATTTTATCCGAATTGGATGATCTTAGTACAAGGCTTAAACAATCTCCAAAAGATGACTCGGGGTCATGGATATCCAAACCCAGCATCGATAAAGCAAAAGGTTCAGTTTGGGCTACCTTTAACAAATTTGTTGCTGGGGAAGATACCAGCACTTTAGAGTCTCCATCAAATCCATCTACGACTATTGAAGCAGGAATTTTCGCAAGAATGGCCAGAGAAACCCCTACTATCAGTCGAACTACATCTAGCTCAGAAATTCCTGGTCATTTCTATGGTAACATTTCCTCGCCTATTAATTCAACCTCACGATATGCGCCGAGTAATAACTACATTTCAGAATTTAAAGAACCGAATTCTGCTAGCTCCCATGGATCTCAACCCCGTCGGTCAGTTGAAATTGAGTATGAAAAAGAGAAACTTTTGGATACTCCTGTCAACGACAAATCTTCTGAAAAAACTAGGGCTGAGAAAGACCGGGAAACAGACGAGGCTTTCCGACGTGCTGCAGAAGCTGATGGTAAGACTCCCAGTTCTGTAGTAATAATTGACTCATTTTTTACAGAAAAAAGATCTAAGGATTCAGCACCAGCTAAGAAAGGCTGGGGTCTCGCTGGAGGGTTCACTGGCTGGTTCGGTGGTGGCTCAAAAAAAGTTCAGGACTCGAATTTACCAAACAAACCTATTCGTGCTAAGCTTGGCGAGGCATCCTCCTTTGTTTATGATACGGAACTAAAGCGATGGGTAAATAAAAAAGCGGGCACCGAAGAGACAGATACCAAACGTCCTATGCCTCCACCTCCGAGAGCGACTCAGTCCCCACGACCAGGAAATAAGCCTTTGCCTCCCACTAGATCAGCTTCAGCTACAGCATCAAACGTAAAAACTGGTCCATCTGTCGGCTCTGAGAGGCCAGAAGATAAGATAACCAGCACTGCAAGCTTAAATACCTCGAGCTCAAGTATGTCCGGGAACGTTGAGGCTTTGAGGATAGTGTCAAATGGATCATTTAAACCCCCAAGTCGACCAGGCACTGGCATGAGCAATGCAAGTAGCATTGATGATTTACTTGGCCCGCCCACTCTGGGCCGGAAGGCTGGCCTGAAGGCGAAGAAAAAAGGCAGAGGATATGTTGATGTCATGAGTGAAAAAGCATCATGAATAAAAATAGCGTGTTAGCGCTAAGGATTAGTATTTTAAACACTAAATGATTTAATGCAGGCTTGTAATATTATTCACTTGGAGTACGGGAGACTGTATGGCATTATTCTTTTGATAGATCCTTTAGTTAGGACTCCCGATAATCTATTGTATGATAGAGTATAACCAAAAGAGCTCTTAACCCTTCAGTTTTATGAAAACAAACCATAAGAACGTGTCAGTCATCGGGTCGAGACGCTAGAGTGACACTGCAAGGATTAGCACCTCAGCAGATATATCAGCTTCGCAAAAGATTTCCAATCGACATTAGGCTGAGGAGCGCCAAACAGTAAGATAATGAATTGGCATTAGTATTAGCTTTAGCATTAGTGTCAAACATACAACAAAAATAGTCTTCAATGTGCTAATTTAGGGCCGGGTAATTTTCAAGTCAGAGTACAAGTTTATTACGCTTCTGAAGTATCAAATTGGCTCATTGCAGTCTCAAGACTAATGTAAGCTCCGATTCTGGTAGCGGTCACAAGAAAACTAGGGATCTTACGACCATTACCTTTAATCAACTACACCCGCGTAAATATCCGTATGAGCGAAAAGCTCTAGTGTGACTGTGTTTATATATGGGGTGGATGGTAGGCATTGTATCAGGCGAAGACACAGCAAAGCTCTGTAAAGTTAGGGATGAGTTAATAGGATTTACTGAGCGTTGATTTTGGATTTATTTAAAGATTGATCTGGATTAGAGCTTCCAAATCTTCCAGTCATCTAAGCTTAGTCTTTTCAAAATACCACCGAGTTCACCCTGTTTCTCATCGCCGTCCTCCCACTTCTTAGGTCCAGCCATAGCTTCACTGAAACCCTCTGGGCCAGAGACAAATAATAAACGTGCCCCAGGTCTGTTTTCTGTGCAAGGGTTAATTTTCACGAGCTGCGACAACTTTCGGGGCGTAAAGCGAGTTCGCTCTTCATCAACCAGGTAATCAAGAGTGAGATAGTTGGGATATTTCTGGCGCAAGGCTTCGAGCTCCTGAACAATAAGATTGATGTCTCGATCGTGGTTTCTCGATCCGTTACTCTTTATTCCCACCTCATTTCCCCCTTTGCAATCCTCACGAAGACGATTAGCCCAGCTGATGTGGACAAAGGGGCAAGGTTTATCGTTGGATTGTCGCTCTAGTAGGGTATGGATAATTTGTAAAGCAGGCGCGATTCCTGTGCCAGCTGCGAGAAATAAAACTTGCCCCACGACCTCGGGTAGTTCAAATTCAACTTTGGGGCCACGTAGATAGATCTTTGCGCCCACGTGTAATTTGTATAAATAATTGGACATCTCGCCCTTCGGCTGCCTTCGAATGAGGAATCGGAGATGATGCTGCGGCTCCCCCGAGCTGGGAGGGAGCGGGGTGTATGAGCGGGCTATTTGCAATTGTGGTTGCTTAACCTCTACAGACCAAATACCCCTCTGCCACCATTGCGCGTAAGGATCAGGATGTTCTATTTCAGGAGAATCGTGTAGAGTACAGACGGTCAGGAGGATAGCGGTGGACGAAACCACTTCTCGCCTGATTATCTCAAACGGCGTAAATTTATCAGGATGAAGGATATGCCTAGCCTCTTGGTTTATCATATATTTTTTGAAAGACAGTATTGTAATTGCGGAAAATGCTATGCTTGCGAGTGCGATGATAGTTGGTCGAGCACCAAATCTCGAAAGGCGCGGTCTGCCTGCCGACATCCAAGAGTTAGCATTAGAAGTCGGACTAGCAAAATGATCTTCTAGGTTTGCATTTTGTGCCAATTTATGATGTGTAGAGGCATTACTAGATCGTGTGCCAATGTGGCGTATACTGATGAAGTTATGCTTGTCGGGAGATAGTTGAAGAGGAAGTGGTTGTCTAATGAGTTTTACGTAGAAGCCCCGTAATTTACAGCTTGGGGTGAGCCGGCAAAGTGATTGGAATGTATAAAACGATGGCATGGGGAAGGTAGATTATCACTGTCATGCCTCGGAGCTTGGGCGCATCATAAAGAGTTGACTGACCATTGAACTAGCACCCGAGTTAAGGATTTTCCACACACAAGAAAGTTGAATCTGAAGCGATTCCAGCCTGGAAACCGAAGCGAAATTGATTAGGTGTATGACTGTTCCATCATGATCTGCTGGCACAGAGCAGACAGGTTGATATAACAAGGATGACTTGTCCAGCGCAAGCGGCTCTGAGACTGTCGGAACGCAAGGAGATGGTCTAATAAAATATTCCAGACTTGTATTTTAGGAGCCTACAGGCGCTTCAAGGCAACACACTCTCAGACTATATTTCACGCGGAGAAAAGTTGAAATATGATGGAGGCATGTCTGGATAACTCAGGGTTTTTGAGACGTTCCCCTGGGTGGGTATTCACGGATGAGGGTTGACTTGGGGTGAAGAAAAAGCCACATTAACTTCGCAGTGGTACTTGCAAATGAAATCCGAGGCATGAGTGCTCTTCCTTTACGTTGAGTCATCTTTTCTGTAATTTTCTTTGATATTGTGTCATAGCTAGATAGCTGCATACGCAATTAAAATCTGATGCAGAAAAAAAAGAGGCAACACACTGTCGATTTAAGCCTTAGCGGAATCCAGGATCAGCTAGATGGTGTGGTGGTATTTCATCCGGATTGGTCTCTCAGTGCGAGGCTGCGGAGCCCGTACATCTACTTCATTGGAGACAGGTGATCGCAGTCTCAGATCCTGCAACACGTTGCGATGATAGTCGCGTTGCTCTCAGTCAATACTACAAGATGAGAAGCTCCCCCCCATCTTAAGGGCCTCAGTCGTAGTGCTCTTAGTTGCCTTCGTAGTGTAATCATCTGGATTCTAGACACTCCTGAAAGGGCTATAGCTTGTAGTAAATGGCTTCATGATACCTGCTTTTTCGAGGTAATGCAATCTGGACACTAGCTAGCGCTGCAACCTGTCAATCCTCTACCGGCACTCGCCAGAGCCTAAGTTGATATAATATTAATCAAGGTGACGGACGATTTTCCTTGTAACAGAGATAAACATCTTCGGCACTGTGCTAATGATTGAAAGGCTCAGTAGGAAAGCAATTTTGACGTTCTCTGATAGTTCGGGGTGCATAGAAGGTTGACCCTGACCTACCTATCATGTATCAGGCTTAGTTAAAAGCGTTAGCATGTTGGGTAGTTACCTAGATTGAGCTGGCACGACACCAAACAATAAACAAACTGAACGCGGTGTTTGTGTGCGGGGCTGCGAAGACATGGTGGCCAACAAAATCTTTTGGTACTTGTCTTTTTGGGTGCCTAGAGACGAGACTTGTCTGCTTAGTGAAAATATAGACACCTCGTCTCAGTATTTACAAATGAAATACAGAGTAAAATGCCTACAAAGTTAAACCCCCATTTAAAATTTACATGAAGCACTGATCATGTGTCGTGACATGAATGCTGCATGTGCACTGAGTGACAAAAAATAAAAGGAGGACAAATTCAATCAAGTTCGAAAGAGTAGGCCTGGCTCTTCACTTTCCACTATCTCGTGTGGACTTTTAGACGCACTTTCACCAAGAAATGATCAGCCCTTACTGCCTAGAAAAAATGGAATGAGCCTGCGCTTTACACGGAAGTTACCTTCTCGAACGCAGCAACGCCCAATGGAACAAGATAATAGGCAGATTCTGTAGCCTATCAGTTTACTAATACCTCTAAATACCTATCTGGCACATTCCTGTTGGTCCATATTAAAAGACCATTAGTCAGCTGGCTTTTCTTGCGTTGGTATCAGCCAATATTGAAGAGGAAAGGAGAGGGGATATGGCACATGAAATAGACCCTCATGACGAAAATCAGTTTGTACTCATGTGTTATGTGGAGCTGAATCCGAAAGGAATCACGAATCATTCAATTATATTAAAAGTCTATAATCCCCCGCCCACATCCCGCAGCAGCATAAGGCTAGGGACCCTAAAATGGATCCGCCATGTTATATTAACTAGGCTATATGGGAGCAGGACGATGGATACTCTTGGGGAAGTTATGCTCACAGTAGGTCTCTATAGTCGCTGTCGCGTGTGTTCTCGTGATATGTAAGACTTGACTCTATATTCTCGTATAAAGGAAACTTAATTACAACGAATGGATGGAGGTTGAGACCTCATTATATCTTGCTCCAGACTTACTGTGTTGTTCACAGCCTAGTGCTAGAACATTCCCTTATGATATCATTTCTCTCCTACGAGAAATGACCAGCTCGTTCTCTCTCAGTCCATCAGTCTCTCGCTGATTCCATTATCTCTATTCCATCGAGTTGTAGTTTGGTCCAGTATACCCACACATGCATTACACACTAAACACCCCATGGTTTAGTTCCACAGTCACGTGCATATACTATGACGCGACCTAAAGCATGTACCATGGTAAGTTACATGGATAACACAAGCGTCTTTTGTCTCAGTAGGGACTTAATACGGTTACTCGCTTGACGCGTGATCCGCCAGACGTTAAATAAAGATAAATAAATAAAAAATAATGGATAACACAACACGCCAACTCCTAGAACAAGATGGCAAACGTGTTCTGGTTGGTGACTTCAATCCTCACCACGCAAAGTGGGGAGGCCAGGCAATGGTTGTGACAGCTACTAGTCTTTAGAATGGATGAGGTTGTGTAATCAAGTTACACATTGTATGTGGTAGTAGTTTTGATCTATAGTTAATAAATTACCTTTTGACATACAAACGCCCGAGTTTTCTAAACCGAAACTGTTATAGTAGTGACCCTTCATAAACTGGCAAACAAACTAATAGGATTGATCTATATCCGGGACTCGGAAGTTGTACTAACTGAGGGTACCATCACTCAAAAGAATAAAGGCTGCCAAACCACCATCAACCTAACGTTTGTATCGAAGGACGTCGTGGAGACCGTCATAGGTTGTCAACCAGCCAGCGAGCTTGAAGGATCCTCAGAAAATATCCTCATGAGTAATATACTCCAAATACAACCTGTCTTTCAAGTAGAACAGATGTCCCGTCCACGGTGGAAGAATTTCGACTTGGATCAGTACAACAAGAGACTCATAGTTTGCCTTGACCAAACTCTTGACGACAATCGGCATTACTCCAGGCAAGCTGTTGTATTATTTATTTATATTTATTTATTTATTACTATTTAATGTCGTGCTGGCTTACAAAACAACCACAAATTTTTGAAATTTGAATTTTAGAATCCACACTTTTTCTCCCTCTCCCTCCCTCTCGCGCTTGTCGTATTACCTCAATAAATTGTGATCGAGTCGCTGGAATTTTCATCATGCCATCTGTTCGAAAAAAGCTCCCCAACGTAATGTTGGACAACGCGAGAGTCCGCCAGAGGGCTCCCGCAAAAACACCGGGCCTCGCGCAAAAACTTTCAAGCATGTTTACGAGTGATGTCTTCATCGAAGAGAAGTCTCCAAACCTTCCCGACAAATAGATGACTGATTCTGAGCCCGTCGGGTCAGCAAAAATTGGTCCTGAGACCCACATTCCCATCGAGCTTGCCCTAGATGCAAGCACCTCAAGGAAAGGCAAGAAAGTCGTCCGAGAGAAAACAACAGAACACGAAGAAATGTCTTCAAGAAAATTCGCTGTGCCAGCTTCCAAAGGTACAGCTTCGACATCAGCAATGGAGTTTCCTCCGGAGCTGCAAACGGTGATAGAGGCCGAAAAGCAACGGACGACGCAAATTACGGCCCGCCTCGCCATCTGCTCGACTGCGATAATCAGTGTTGAAGTAGCACTTTCGTCTTTTTCGATCGGCGATAATAAAGAATTCGTAGACGGTAAAAAAGTCTACCAACGAGCAGCCATTGGCCAGTTCGTTTAATCCGATCCAGGAAGCACACCACCAGTCCTTCCTGCTCGCCCCGCCACCCCTCTCCCACAGAGGGCTCCAGAAATTAGGGTACCTAACCCTCCGAAAACCCAGGCTCCGGCCCCAAAAACAACTTGGGCCACCATAGGTGGGGCAGGCCTAGTCAGCAGCGCTGGGCCATCGACAAAAAAGGCAGCAACGCCCGCCCATAAAGCAAAAAGTGCCAACTCGAGTGAAAAATTCGATTCACGACTTTTTATACGCCTTGAATATAACAATCTCCACCGTCTCCTCTCCCCAGCTGGCGTAAGATCGGCTGTCTCAGAGGCTCTCGGTACCGCTGCCAAAAATATCACGTTGGTTCACCGGGTAGAGACTGGCTTTGCAATAACCGCAAAGGATGAACTTGCTCGAAAAGAGCACCTAGATTCCTCCACATCACGGATCGAATCTGGAATCAAACTGGAACCAGCATCAAATCTGGTTGACATGCAAATTACCACCTTCCCGGAGACAATTTGAACTCTTGATGGCCCCATCGCCGTGACGGCAAAGATGGTTGCCGATGAAGTCACGCGAGTGACCAAATCAGTTCCTTTTCTTGTTTGTCCTCAAGGGACCAGCAAACCCTGGGCGCCATACCAGAACTGGCAAGCGCTCTTCCCTCGCGAATCCACGCCCTGACATAGATTTCGCCTCTTCGATGATTCCGAAGCTGCACAGCTCTTTCAACCTCCTCGAAACATAGCTCAGTGCAAACCATATCTTGGCTTCCATGCCTCTCGCGGTTGCTCTCGCGCTCCGGCTTGCTGGAACTGCGGATCAAAAATGCACTTGGAAACGGAGTGCAAAGCCCCCACACGATGTCGCAATTGTGGGGGACCTCACCGATCGGACTCACGGTTCTGCAAAGCCAGACCCAGCAAGTTCGGCCCTGTGAAAAAAGAGCAGCTTGCGATAATTCGCAGAGCCGAGCAGAAAAATTACTCTGATTGTGTTATGATATGAGACAACGAGGTAGTCGAGCCTAGGGCATCGCGTGTGGCTCAAGGCCACAGCATACATCACTAGTGTACTGGTTAGGCGAGCATGTATATAGTTTCATAGATGTACCAACAATG